ACCTTTGACCGAATTCAGGAGTACTGACGGGCCATAGTGACGGGCGCCCGTAGGCAACTCGCGATTCCGTCGACCGGCCAGCTCCTGAATTTGTTCTCCAGTCCCGAACACGTAACCCTGAAACCGGGAACGCGACCTGCCCGCCCCCACTGCGAATAGGTCCCTACCAAACAAAAACCCTCGCGCAAGTAAAAAAAAAGAAACACCCAAAAAGGCGCACTGACGGTTCGGAGCGGATGACTACGAACATAGACCTCTCAAGACAGACCACGGTCAACCCGAGGAAATCAAAGCTAAGACAATGCGTAGACGTCGGAGCAAGTTTTCACGTCCCAGAGATACCCCATTTCACACCTCCAATAGGAGAACGAGAACTAAAGTGACAATAAGGGCAGCTAACTACATACTCAAAAACACAAAAGAAAACCAACACCGACGACTTCACATATAAAGGAGATATGAGGTGAAGACGAGAAGACCAATATCACCACCAAAACACAAAGAACTACTCAACTCCGCGGGAACATAATCAAATACCTCACACCTTTGCAGGCCAACCAATTGAGACCCAAATCGTGAGATGTTGGAGTGTGGCCAGTTGTGGGACTTTTACCCACCGGCTGGTCATACCCCGGCAGGAGTATTCTCCGGCCCCTTCCTGCAGAGCCCCCCTTGCTTCTCTAGTCCTCAAGTCAAACTAAATCGAATCTGCATGATCAGGGGAAGCCCGAAGGTGCTTCGTGTGCCAATTCCCCTTCGAATTACCAGCCTCATCTCTCAACTCATAAACCCATGGAGACAATCTTTTCTTGATATAAAATGGGCCGTCGTACTCTGGTGCCAGCTTGGCCGAGAAGTACTTCGTTGCGTCCGAATGGACCATATTCTTTTTCCAAACAACCTGATTTGGCAAGTATTCGACATGTCGACAACGCAGGTTGTATCGCTCGCAACTCTTTTCACCCGCGACCTCCAATCGCCTCTTCACGTCCCCAAACATTTTCCTGAAAGACTCGTTACGACTTAAGTCACCGGTTTGAGTACCATCCTCAATATCTAATAAAACATTGTCGCGATAATCTTTCCCTGACAAAACCATATTTCTACCAAAATTAACGAAGTAAGGTGTTAATTTCATCGTCTCATGTTTGGACGTGCGAATCGCACATGCAATTTCGTCCAGATTCTCGTCCCAACAGCGGTGGTTATCTGATACATAAATGGATAACATCGTCTTGATTACCCTATTAACCCTTTCAGTAGGGTTAGCTCGAGGATGGTAACTAGGAGTGAACTTAATATGACTACTGTACTTATCGGCAAACCTAATGAACTCCCTACTACGGTATTGAGGCCCATTGTCACAGATGATGGTTCTGGGGACTCCAAACAGTAGAAATACCTCGCTTTCCATCTTACGAATGATGGATGTACTCGTGGCCTTCCTCAGAGGAAACAATAACGAAAATTTGCTTAGGTAATCTGTTACTACCAACAAAAAGCAATTACCATGTTTCGACCTAGGAAGTGGTCCCATGAGATCTGTGGAGATCATTTCCCACGGCCTGTCAACCTTCGGGTGCGAAATCATCTTATCCGAGGGTTGGCTGTTCGAAACCTTATGCGCCAAACATACTTCACATCGCCGGACAAACCTAGCCACGTCATTGCGCATTTTCGGCCAATAATATCTCTCAGCTATCCTGGCAAATGTCTTGTAGACCCCACAATGCCCTGAAGTAGGAGGTACATGAGCTGAAACGATTATACTATGGCGATCCTTCTTGGGAACGACAACTTTCCAAGAATCGGATGGAGATGATAACTCAGGATAATCAATGTCCACATGTTTCCACAAACGGCCATTGCTCTCACGCCAACTGCCGAATTTCAAGGGATTCTTCCTCACTCTGACAACCATACTTTGATACCACCTATCACCACCAGCAGCCTTCAAATCTGGGGAGTCTTCAACTACGATCAAATCTACACAAGAAGGGTTCTCATCAGTCGCATCCGAATCAATCATGGGTACCGTTCTAGAAAGCATGTCGGGTACAACATGTTCCTTCCCTTTACGATGAATAACAGTGAAATGATACTGTTGGAGTCGTACCGCCCAGCGTGCTAAACGTCCTGTAAGGTCCTTGAGATTATGGAGCCAGAGCAACGAGTAGTGATCCGTTACCACGGTGAATTCAACCCCTTCTAGGTACGGACGGAGTTTCTCTACAGCCCATAATACCGCTAAGCATTCGCGCTCTGTTGTGGAATAATTCCTCTCTTGTCGAGTCAATGACCTACTGAGGTACGAAATCACTTTGTCGCCGTCAGGGTGCGGCTGGGTGAGGACGGCTCCAATGCCATAGCCAGAGGCATCAGTCTGCACTACAAACGGCTTGTCATAGTCCGGACAACTCAATATAGGTGCGGCCACGAGACATTCCTTGATCAACCTAAATGAACGTTCACACTCCTCAGTCCATCTGAACTTACTACTTTTTTTGAGAAGTGATGTGATGGGTGCAATAATTGAAGAAAAATCCGGAATGAACCTTCTATACCAGCTAAAGGTTCCGACAACCATCCGAACTTCCTTCACGTTAATGGGAGGTGCAAGGTCTAACATCGCCTTAACTTTATCAGGGTCAACGTGTAAACCGTTCCTGTCGACAACGTAGCCCAGATATTTCATCTGCGGCCGGCAAAACTGACATTTTTCAACGCTTATTGTGATATTGGCTGAACGCAACCTACGGAAAACTTCATCCAAAAGTTCCAGATGATGCTCAAGGGTCTGACTCACGATAACCACATCATCGAGGTAAACAAAGAGGTTAGGTTCTAGATCGTGACCTAGAACGTTATCAATCAGCCGTTGCCAGGTAGCCGGGGCGTTATGCAATCCAAACGGCATACGACGAAACTGAAATAGCCCACGGTTGGGGACCGTGAACGCCGTATACTGTTTGGACGACTCAGCCATCGGTACCTGCCAATATGCGGATTTCACGTCCAAACTGGAGAGATATTTGGCATCTCGTAGCTTGTCAAGAGTGTCGGATACTAATGGCAGCGGGTAACTGTCGCGAACAGTGACTGAATTTAGTTTCCTGAAGTCAACGCAGAAACGAAATGATTCGTCTTTCTTCCTCACAAGTAGGATAGGTGATGACCACGGGCTATTTGAGGGCTCAACAATACCCAACTTGAGCATCTCCTCCAATTCAAGATCTATTTGCTTTTGGACCAGGGGATTCACGCGGTAATATCTTTGTTTTATAGGTGGGCTGTCCGTAACAATAACGTGTTCAGCCTTAGTGGTACAGCCTAAACCCTTACCCATCAATGCGACATTACGGTCGATAACTGCCTGCAATCTCGCCTTCTCCATCGGGGTTAGCAAGGTTTGCCCATTAACATGCTGCAATGAATTGACTATAACCGGTTCCTGAGAAAAATGCCATTCGTTATGGCGCAGATCAGGTACTATTCCCATCTCCCTCCAAAAGTCAGCTCCGAGTATCAGCAAATGCGGTAGCTCCGGTACAACTATTGTCTCCACCAAACGGAACCTACCTCTCAATAAAACTGGCAAACCAACGACACCTATACTCTGGCAGCGTTTTCCATCTGCGACCGTACACGAAGTGGTCCTACTACTATCAACCAGTAATCCCAATTCCCGAATAATCTCTAACCCCTTAGCACCAAGTATGGTCCTAGACGCGCCTGAATCCAACAGCCCCAACAACGATTTACCCAACACCTCAACACGTAGATATGGTCTTTCATCTTCCACAGCATGGTCCAAAACGTAGTCCAGAAGAATCTGGAGTTTGTCGATCGAATGCTCCTTCTCGACACGTCCATCTCGATCAGCTAGGAGTGCCGGCGAGCGTTTCCCTGCTGATTGCACACTGGACAGCTCTTTACAGTTACCCCCTCTTTTTTACACCTATAACAAAATTTTCCGCTTTTCACAGCACAACCAATTGCCCTGTGACCTGGTTGATTACATCGGAAACATATTACCTCCTGTGACGAGCCTGCTACATTCCTAACTGGACTACTGACAACCGACTGACAGCTGTCAACAGGAGTATCTACATCAACATAGGCGAGATCGGCCTCTAATGCACCACTTCTCCGACTAGGCGGAACGAAATTCTCGACGGCCTCCTTTCTAGCTTCCAGTCGCCGACCTAAATCGCGAAGGTGGGAAATTGAAGTAACATCAACCAAGGCCAACTGATTTTGGTAAAATGGAGCTATATTTTTCATAAGTACTTTCAGTTTGGTCTCCTCAGGTACCGGACACGTAAGTCTATTGAAATAACCTGTCATTACAGCTAAATAAATCCCTATGGACTCGTCTGGCCCCTGAGTTCGTTTTCGTATTTCTTCAAAAAGTTTTTCATTGTAATTGGGGGTTAAATACTCCTCACGAAGTAAATTCACTAGTTCATCCCACGAACTAACTTCTTGACGATACGCGAGATAAAACTGGTAAGCTCTACCTGTAAATAAGTCAATTCCCGATTCAAGCAAAGTGTCTTTGGAAACATGTCGTGCGACCCTCAGTTCTTCGACTCGTTCTAGGAACGCACTTAAAGATAAGCCTTTCTTATCACCCGAAAACTTAATGTCCCATTTATTCGGGAAGATTGATTTGACAGATGATGATTGAGGTGGAGGAGACGGTTGATTAGTTGGTATGCTTGAGGACCTTCGACCTTGAGATATCCCCGCTGTGAAGCTGGCTTGTTGCAATAAGTTCATTTGAGCCGGAACATCTAGAGCAGCCTCAAAATCAGCAGCCCTCTGCTCTAAACTTTCCAAAAGTGACAAAGTTTTCGCCAGTATTCCAGGTCGGTCAGCTGAAGTCTCGTCGATATGATCTATCCTAATCAGAATATACCGCAATTTCGCATGATATTTCTGATAGGCCCCACTATTTGAAGAGTCCTTGAAATCATTGATGAGTGGCTCTAACTCACTCAATTTTTCCTTCACCGCCTGCACATCTTCGTCCACAGTGAATGGATACTTTGGCCACAGTACTGTGTCTCCACTTTTCTCCATTCTCATTGCCATAGCTAGTGTATGCCGCATTTCCTCCACCGTGCCGGTGGCAATACCTCGGATACGAACCAAATATGACAGCTCCTCATGATTGAGACGATTTGGTGGAATTCGACGAATCATAATTGAAATTTTGGATAACGACTAAAACAAGCTCGAGTTGGTCGGAAATTCCCAAAATTTAAAAAAAAACGGAACGAATTTTAAAAAAACTAACATTCAAGGTCACTCTAACCTTGAAATGGCCCCACGTTGGGCGCCAAAAATGCAACCTACACAAATCGTGCTGATGCACCAAGGTCACTAGACCACTATAATTGGGTAGTAGTGGGCATCCGCGCTAGCAATAGCCGAAGGTGGGGTGGGTCGAAGAAAATGATTTGGTTTTCAGTGAAAACAAGATTTGATGGTCATGGGCGCCAGGCGAATTTCTAACCCCGCGTAGATACCCTAAACAGTTCAAACTCAATCTCCAAATTCACCAAACGAGATTGAGGCAGATTCGAGTCAGAAACGTTAAACAATAAAATTCGAGTTAACCTTGAATGTATTTATTACACCTTGAACTAACAAATCAGTCCCTATTCAGTTCCTGTCGTAACAATCCATACTAATTAATAACATATAAATCTCTAAAAATATCCACTTTAGTTCACTGGTCTATATAAATGAAAAAAAAAATAGTCAGTTACTCCATAGTACCTGGAGGTATTAGGGAAACAAAAAAATATAACGGTGAAGCACTAAGTACAACTAAGCAGTGATTGGCACAAACATAGCATAGCCAGGCAAGCATCGACTACTGGGGCGAGGGCTCACGTAGAAATTAGAGGGTTGATACCAATAAAGCGTAAATAGCAAATACTTATTATGTCCAGTTAGGGAATACGCAACGCATGAGCTCAGGCGCAGGTATATAGACAAGTTGGGAATACTAACTAATTGTCCACGTTCAGTCTCTATAATTTCTACTCACATAACCCAAGCAGTATGATCTAAACCCAAATATCTTTTTATAAACATCTAAAAGGTCAAGTCGATGAAACAGTAGTGAGCAACGCCATAATTATGATAGCAACGATAGTAAGCAAAAGAAAAAAATCAAATGCTGTATGCCTAACAGCCAATTCAGCGAGGAGATACACAATAACAGTAAGCATAGGTAAAATAGCAATTCATATACATCAACAAATATAGCAAAAAAAGATAGCAGTAATATCATGCGCAGCAAAGTATCAAGGTCAATATATATGATGCAAATTTAGCAAAAAAAAAATATATATCAGCTAGGTATTCGTAGCAACTTGCCAACCTCTGTATAACTATGAAGTAATTCAGTATAAAGTTGAGCACACAAGCAAGCACAGCCAATATAGATATCAAACCCTACAATATGAAGCAAATTTGGCATGACAGTAAGCAAGCATAGCAAAAGTAGCAAATTCTTCAGCTATGAAGTAAATGTAGCATAAGAGTAAGCATATGATGCAAGCATAGCAAATGTAGCAAATTCTATAAATATGTAGTAAGTTCAGCTTGATAGTGAACAAGCATGGCAAGCATAGCAAATGTAGCAAACCCTATATATGAAGCAAGCAAAAAGAGAAAAAAAAATGAGCAATCAGCAAATCATAGCAAACTCAGCATAAAGACAAACAAAAGTCAAAAACTTGCGTGTCCTCTAGTGGCTTGTTAAAGTTGAGACACCCTGTATCACCCAGGTGGTAGGTCGCAGCGTTACGGCAACCTCCTTCTAGTACTGCTTTGCCTGACCAAACGAATCTGATTCTGCTATAGTATCATGCACCCAGTGCATAGTTGACTTCGAGCAACCCAAAGTTGGTATCCTCAAAAAAAACCCTAGGGAGAAATAATAAACATAATTACCATCTCTCCTGAGAAAAATAAAATCATACTCCCTACTGTCCAATATTTTTTGGAATATTGGAGATTTTTCAAAATATTGAAGATATTTGATATACAAGCCAAAAGTACCAGAATATTCTCCAAATATAATATGTACCCTCTACTAATGTAGTAGGGCAAGTATTTGTATAAAAATTCACCTAATAAAATGTTATTTTCTAGCAAACATACTGAGAATTTCTTAGTAGTATTTTCACCTACAAAAGTCATGTAGACATGAATATTTTTCAATGAATAACCCTCAACTTCTTATTCACAAGGTAGTTTGCAGATTATGAACTATATAATAATTTAAATGCCAACAAAAAAAAATGATCAAGTTACCATCTGAGTAAAATAACTGCTGGCTGGATTTTGAATTGGTTTCCACTCGATGGGAGTGAAAGAGGAAAAAAGTGATTTCACTAAGAAAACATGCAAAAATAACAGGGAAAACATCTTACCCTGGCCAAGAGGTTTTATGTTCTGACAGCACATATAATGGTGGAGAGGTGTCCTTCAAGTGATTATAGGCCTTATGTACTTGTCATTAAGGGTCTGGTAATATTCCGGACTGATATTCAACTATCAACAAAAAAAAAGTTTCACAGTAATGAACTCTACCTTAATTTATGAAATCAACAACTAGAAACATTCCAACATTGGAAATACAGGAATTTACATACCAAATTAAATAGCTGATGTTCGTAGAGCCGTCTCGATCACTTCATGTATGCAGGAGAATGGTGAACTTTCAAATCCTCCTAAGAGTCAAATCTTGGGGTAGTACTCCAAAATACACACCAAATAACGATAACCTTACACCAAGATTAGTAAAAATGGTCGACAAAAATAATCCCTAACTAGGATGACCAAAATAATCAAAATTTTGTGACCAAACGGTTCACCATCACTTTTACTCCCAAACACGAAGTAACGAAATGGGCCGACTCCACTCGAACCTAGCAGGGGTCGCTTCCAGCAGCAATCCTGCTTCCAGCCTATCAGAACCCTTTCCACGAACACGGAACTACAATCTGAAGTTTCACCTCTGTTGGATAGGTGTCGACACCATAAAGGATATGTTTATTGCCTTAAAATTCTGGAAAACTGATGGGGATTCTCAGCAACACCCGAGTTTGCCTCCTACAGCCTATTACAGGCAAGTCAGGACTTACATTTCCCAAAATATAGTCCATTGTACAATCAAAATTCCAGGACTTTCCTGCTATTAGAGCTGGCAACGCCGCCCTAGAGATGGGCGCAATTCCAGCAGTAACATATCGTTACGGTTGAATCACAGTTGAATGCTCATCTCCTGGGTCCGACCAACCATGGACTATGGAATTCGAGAGCCAGCCGCCGAAACCTATCTTCAGGCAGACCAGCAATTCGGTGGCCGACCATCAGCGATTCGATCAGCTGATCGAAAATCAAAACAAAACAACAGACGGATGCTGAATCAAAAATTCCTTCGAGATGATCTATAAGTTCTATAACATAAGACGAATAAATTAATAATGTCCTAGGAGTCCCAGGTACGTTTTATTATTTACTTTATTATTGTTCATCATCGACTATCTGTGCTAATAAATGAACGAACGATACTACAAATACACCACAGTTATACTTAAATCTAATTATTTACATTTTTGTTTCAGGACGGAGCAAGAAGAGATAAATTCATTCAAGTAGTGCTGGAACGAGTCGAAGAAAGATCAACAAAGAATAGATTCCCGATTCAACTGCCTGGATATTAGTGTACAGTTTGAAGCAGTGCCAATATTGTTTAGTTCAATTAGTTTGTGTGTTGTGACAATAATGTTGAATAAATATACAGGGTGAGTAAATATGGGTTTCATTCAATTTTTGAAGCTTCAGAGATAGATTATTATTTGACGTGGAAATTCAACGTTACAAATCCCCCCCTTACTTCAAGAAATTTGCCCGCAAATTTTTCCTAGGTAAAAAAAACCTAAATATTCAGAATCTATACCCCATGAAACTTGTAGCAAGTACCCTCCTTGGTACAAGATATGTCCTAGAACATCTTGAGCTCCAGTTGCTTCACAGATGGATGACCCGGACGATTGCCCGAGCGACAGCGTTCCAAGGGAGCCTCGAAGGGGCCCTCGCGAAGATGTCAGACGCGTCGTGGACCAGCCCTCCGGTCAACCTTCCATCAGCAACCCCCGGACGCGCCGCCGCACGCACGGCCGACCGAGCCCGCCATCCGCGTCACACTGGATACCCGCAATGGAAAGCCAAAACATGTAAAAGTAAATTTTGATTTAGGGCAAGCCCAAGGACTGCCAGTTCAACCCTAGTGGGCAGGAGGGCCCACCACCCTGAAACGGCGCTGATGCCGGTGCGAGATCAAACAAAACATTCGGGATTGTTCCACAACGCAGTGCGGCGGACAATCCCTCGTTCCCTCGGCTCAGGGACCTTTGACCGAATTCAGGAGTACTGACGGGCCATAGTGACGGGCGCCCGTAGGCAACTCGCGATTCCGTCGACCGGCCAGCTCCTGAATTTGTTCTCCAGTCCCGAACACGTAACCCTGAAACCGGGAACGCGACCTGCCCGCCCCCACTGCGAATAGGTCCCTACCAAACAAAAACCCTCGCGCAAGTAAAAAAAAAGAAACACCCAAAAAGGCGCACTGACGGTTCGGAGCGGATGACTACGAACATAGACCTCTCAAGACAGACCACGGTCAACCCGAGGAAATCAAAGCTAAGACAATGCGTAGACGTCGGAGCAAGTTTTCACGTCCCAGAGATACCCCATTTCACACCTCCAATAGGAGAACGAGAACTAAAGTGACAATAAGGGCAGCTAACTACATACTCAAAAACACAAAAGAAAACCAACACCGACGACTTCACATATAAAGGAGATATGAGGTGAAGACGAGAAGACCAATATCACCACCAAAACACAAAGAACTACTCAACTCCGCGGGAACATAATCAAATACCTCACACCTTTGCAGGCCAACCAATTGAGACCCAAATCGTGAGATGTTGGAGTGTGGCCAGTTGTGGGACTTTTACCCACCGGCTGGTCATACCCCGGCAGGAGTATTCTCCGGCCCCTTCCTGCAGAGCCCCCCTTGCTTCTCTAGTCCTCAAGTCAAACTAAATCGAATCTGCATGATCAGGGGAAGCCCGAAGGTGCTTCGTGTGCCAATTCCCCTTCGAATTACCAGCCTC